CCTCTCTACTACTACTACTAACTGACTACTACTCTCTCTCTCTCTCTCTCTCTCTCTCTAAAACTGTAAAACAGCGTACTAACCAAACGGGAAAGGCTCTCTCGTTTGCAGAGTCGAGGCAAGGGCAATTCTCAAGAGGGACGAAAATGTTAAGTTCTAGCGTTTTTGCCTTTATAGTTATTCAGTACCGAAACGAAATCCGAAATTTCGTCCCTCGAAATTTTGTGACGTGACTACCCTGAACTTTTGTCTGTATACCTAACGAGTTGACGCCTAAGTTCGCTTCAACGTTAGAGAGTCCTCCTGGTATTTTGATAAACGTTAATGGCCTTTAAAGCCATATTTCCTATAAGAAACCCGCCCGTAAAACCCTACTCCAAGGTTGAGGGGCAAAATACAGGAAAAAGAAAAAAAAATTCCTCTTCTTTTATCCTCCCATGGCTGTTTTCACAGTAAACAGCCATGTCTGCACTCCTTCTCTCCCCTCCCTTTCATTAAACCCTAACCCTAACCCCAACCGTAACCGCAATCCAAAAGCTACTGTCTCTGGATTAAACCCTAACCCTAACCTTAGAGCCACTGTCTGTAATGGTGTGTCCACCTCAAAAGTCAACCTCTCAAGCAACAATGCTTTTGACCCTTTCAAATGGGCGAAGCAAAAATCCTCTACTGTCTCTGCATCAAACCCTAACCCTAATCTTAGAGCCACCGTCTCTAATGGTGTCTCCACCTCAAAAGTCAACCTCTCAAGCAACAATGCTTTCGACCCTTTCAAATGGGCGAAGCAAAAATCCTCTATTATTGGAAAAATTCTAGGAATTTCAGCAGCTGCAGGCCTTGTTTGCCACATCTTTGCTTGTCGTCTCTCTTCTTATGGTGGCAATGGAGGTGGAGGTGGTGGTGGAAATGGTGGAGGTGGTGGGGATTCCGGCGGTTTTGGCAGGTTTTGGTCAGAATTACTTTCTCCAGTGGCCGTGGCCAAAGAGGAAGAAAACCAAGAATGGGACCCTCATGGCTTGCCTGCAAATATACTTGTGCAGATTAACAAACTCAGTGGATTTAAGAAATACAAAACCTCTGAGATTTTGTTCTTCGATAAGAAAAGAGGTTCAGTTGTGGGAACAGAAGACTCCTTCTTTGAAATGGTTTCGCTGAAACCTGGTGGAATTTACACCAAAGCACATTTACAAAAGGAGCTGGAAACCCTAGCTACTTGTGGGATGTTTGAGAAGGTTGATCTTGAGGCGAAGACGAAGCCTGATGGTACAATTGCGGTTAACATTTCTTTCGCAGAGAGCACATGGCAATCAGCCGATGCTTTTAAGTGTATAAATGTGGGGTTATTGCCTCAGTCAAAGCCAGTTGATATGGACCCTGACATGACTGATAGAGAAAAGTTCGAGTATATCAAGCGCCAAGAAGCAGAATACAGGTTTTTGATTTTTTGCTATTCATGGTTTTGGCCTTTTAGTTTTTTTATAACAAGATTGGTTTTTTTATGAATTCTACAGTAACTTCAATTGATTAGGACTTATACTTCAATTCTTTTGCATTCGTAATTTGGTTGAGTAATTTTTTTGAGCAAGTAGGAAGCTATTTCATGAAGATCCACTGTAAGCGAAATTTGGAGTAACTCAAATGGTCTTTCATTTGTAGTTGATTAGGTTCATAGGAAGTTCAATATAAAGTGGTTCCACTATAGGGTTTGTGAATTAATGCAAAGCTTCACCTGCTTTTCATAACTCAAAACGTATTATTTTGTAGATGGAAATACAAACTATTCCGTTTGTAGTAAAAGTTTGTATTTTACTGCATGGTTGTTTGGCAGATGTACTTTTGTATGCTTTTTTATGTTGTTTTGTATGTTTAAATGAAAATTTTGTATGTTAATAAAGTAATTATGAAAACCATGAGAAACATGGTATCAAAAGCAAGAAAAGTACTATGTAAATGCATGTGGGTCAAAATTCATGTTACTCAAGAATGGTGTAGCTGCTATTCTAAATAATGCATGTAAATGGAAACATGTGCATTATTCACGAAATTATGGCCACTAATGTTGACAGTATCTTGCATATTATTGCTTTGATGTCTATTTATTCACTCTTATAAGATTTTGGTTTAACCATTTATGTGGAATTAGTAAGCAGTCAAACCCATTAAATGAGATAGTTATCAAAGAATAAAAACAGCTAATCAGAAAACTGAACTAGCACAACTGCAGGAAGAGAATGGAAAGGTCAAGACCATGTCTGCTTCCAATTCGTGTACAGAAGGAAGTTTTGGCAATGCTAAGGGAGCAGGGTAAAGTGAGTGCGAGGCTTCTCCAGAAAATCCGAGACCGAGTTCAAAAATGGTACCATGATGAGGGTTACGCATGTGCCCAGGTTGTGAATTTTGGCAACTTGAATACAAGAGAAGTGGTGTGTGAGGTTGTGGAGGGCGATATCACTCAACTTGTTGTTCAGTTCCAGGATAAACTCGGAAATGTCTGTGAGGGGAATACTGAATTGCCAATTATTAGGAGAGAATTGCCCAAGCAGGTTAGGTCTCTCTCTCTCTCTCTCTCT